AAAAGAAAGGAAATAATAAAATTAGAGCAGAAATAAATAAAACAGAAAAACAATCAAAAGAATCAACAAGACTACAAGTTGGTTCTTTGAAAGGATTAATAAAAATCAACAAACCACTGTCCAAATTGACAAAAGAAAAGGAGAAGATGCAAAAAACCCAAATAAGAAATGAGATGGATGACATTACAACAGAACCAGCTGAAATAAAAAAGGATCATAACAGAATACTATGAAAAACTGTACTCCAACAAATTTGAAAACCTAGAGGAAACAGACAAATTTCTAGAAACACACTACCTACCTAAACTAACACAAACTGAAGTAGAAAATCTGAACAGACCCATAACAAAAGAAGAAATTGAAGAGGTCATAAAAAAAACTCCCAACAAAAAAAAACTCTGGTCCACATGGCTTCACTGGAGAATTCGACCAAACATTCAGAGAAGAGCTCAACAACAACACTACTCAAACCACTCCAGAACACAGAAAAGGAAGGAACACTCCCAAATTCATTCTATGAAGCCAACATAACCCTCATACAAAAGCCAGGCAAAGACACCACCAAAAAAGAAAACTACAGACCAATGTCCCTCATGAACATAGACACAAAAATTCACAACAAAATTGTAACCAATAGAATTCAGCAACATATCAAAAAAATAATACATCATAACCAAGTGGAATTCCTACTAGGAATGCAAGGATGGTTCAACATTAGAAAATCAATCAATGTAATCAACCATATAAATAATACACAGGAAAAGAATCACATGATCATCCAATTGATGCAGAAAAGGCATTTGATAAAAGTCCAACACCCATTCCTGATAAAAATTCTCACCAAAATGGAAATAGAAGGGTAATTCCTCAACATAATTAAGGCTATATATACAAACCAACAGTCAATATTACTCTCAATGGAGAAAGACTGAAAGCATTCCCCTTGCAAACAAGAATCAGACAAGGATGCCCTGTATCATCATTCTTATTCAATATTGTACTGGAAGTCCTAGCTAGAGCAATAAGACAAGAAAGGAAAATAAAGGGCATCCAAATCGATAAGGCAGAAGTAAACCTATCCCTATTTGCAGACAATATGATCCTATATATAGAAAATCCCCGTGATTCCACAAGAAAGTTACTGGAACTAATAAAAGGATTCAGCAAGGTGCCAGAGTACAAGATCAACCTACAAAAATCAGTCAGATGCCTCTACACTAAGAAAGAGAACTCCAAAAAAAGGAAATCAGGAAAACAATACCACTTACAATAGTCCCAAAAAAGATAAAATACTTAGGAATAAACCTAACTAGGGACTTAGAAGACTTATATAAAGGAAACTACAAAACACTAATGCAAGAAACCAAAAGAGACCTTCGTAAATGGAAAAATATACCATGCTCGTGGATAGGAAGATTTAATACTGTGAAAATATCAATACTATCAAAAGCGATCTATAGATACAATGCAATACCAATACAAATTCCAACAACATTCTTTAATGAGATGGAAAAACTAATCACCATCTTTATATGGAAAGGAAAAAAACCCCACATAGGTAAAGCACTATTGAAAAAGAAGAACAAAGTAGGAAGCCTCATACTTCCAATCTCAGAACCTACTATACAGCCACTGTAGTCAAAACAGCCTGGTACGGTACAAGGACAGACACACAGACCAATGGAACAGAATTGAGAATCCAGAAGTAAATCCATCCACTTATGGACACCTGATCTTCGACAAAGGGTCAAAATCATTCAATGAGGAAGAGATAATCTCAACAAATGGTGCTGGCAAAACTGGATATCCACCTGCAGAAAAATAAATAGGATCCATACCTCACACCATATACAAAAACAAACTCAATATGGATCAAAGACCTAAATGTAAAACCTAATATAAAGACCATAAAAGAAAACATAGGGGCCCTAATCTATGGCATAAATAGAGTATTAGGCATAACTAAAAATACACAAAACAGAAGATAAACTAGATAACTAGGACCTCCTAAAAATTAAACATTTATGCTCATCAAAAGACTCTACCAAGCCAGTGAAAACAGAACCCACAGACTGGGAATGGCATATCTGATAAAGGTTTAATCTCTAAAATATATAGAAAACTTCAACAACTAAACAACAAAAAGACAAACAACCTGGTCATAAAATGGGCAAAGGACATGAACAGACACTTCACCAAAGATGACATTCAGGGAGCCAACAAATACACAAAAAGATGCTCCCAATCATTAGCCATTTAAAAAAAAAAACAAACCCATTGCTGTCAAGTCAATTCTGACTCATAGCAACCTTACAGGACAGAGCAGAACTGCTCCATAGGGTTTCCAAGGCTGTAAATCTTTATGGAAGCAGACTTCCACATCTTTCTCCTGCATTTGCCATTAGAGAGATGCAAATCAAAACTGTGATGAGATACCATCTCACCCCTGCAAGAAAGGCACTGATCAAAAAAACAATAAATGCTGGCGAGGTTGTGGGGAGACTGGAACTCTCATACACTGCTGGTGGGAATGTAAAATGGTGCAATCACTATGGAGAACGATATGGTGCTTCCTTAAAAAAGCTAGAAATAGAAATACCATATGATCCAGCAATCCCACTGCTAGGTATACATACTAGAGAAATAAGAGCAGTGACACTAACAGACATATGCACACCCATGCTCACTGCAGCATTATTTACAATAACAAAAAGATGGAAACAACCTAAGTGTTCATCAACAGATGAACGAATAAACAAACTATGTACATACACACAATGGAACACTACACAACAATAAAGAACCATGATGAATCCGAGAAACATCTCACAACATGATTGAATCTGTAGGGCATTATGCTGAGTGAAATAAGTCAATTACAAAAGGACAAATATTTAATGAGACCACTATTAGAAAAAGTCAAGAAAAGGTTCACACACAGAAAGAAATAATCTTTGATGGTTACCAGGGAGGGGAGAGAGTGGAGGGAAAATTACTAACTTAGGTGAAAGAAAAGGCAATACACAATACTGGGGAAGTTAGCACAACTTAACGAAGGAAGGTACTGAGAGGAACACACACACACACACACAAAGGCAACTGAAGTAAATACTATAACATATACACCCTACAACAACAGTACAAACAATAATTTATAAGCAGATACATAAGTAGATATGTATGTTAAATAGCAGTAGGAGGTAGTATAGGCGTATACCCACGTACACATACAGGTTTTGCTCTGGATATTTTTACATATGTATTTGTGCAACATGCATATTCATATATATATATATATATATTAGAGCACGCAGGGGACACAGTCATAGAAGCTTCCCAGACACAGTCAAACATCTCGAAGGACTGAGTTACTGGGGCTGATGGCTAGGGAGCATGATCTTGGGGGACATCTAGGTCAATTGGCATAACACAGTTCATAAAGAAAACGCACTACATCCTACTTTGGTGAGTAGTGCCTGAGGTCTTAAAAGCTTGCGAGCGGCCATCTATGATCCAACTATTGATCTCATTCCATCCAGAGCAAAGGAAATGAAGAAACCCAAAGACACAAGGAAGCAATTAGTCCAAAGGACTATGGACCACATGAACCACAGTCTCCACTAGCCTGAGCCCAGAATAACTAGATGGTGCCCAGCTACCACCATCAACCACTCCTATTGGGATCACCAAGAAGGTCTCAGACAGAGCAGGAGAAAAATGTAGAACAAAATTCAAATTCACAAAAAAGACCAGACTTACTAGTCTGACAGGGACTGGAGGAAGTCCCCAGACTAGGGCCCCTAGACACTCTTCTAATTTAGAATTGAAGCCACTCCCGAAGTTCACCTTTTGGCCAAATATTAAAACCAAAAAAACCCACTGCCATCGACTCGATTCCAACTCATAGCGACCCTAAAGGACAGAGTAGAACTGCCTAATAGGGTTTCCAAGGCTGTGATCTTTATAGAAGCAGACTGCCACATCTTTCTCCCAAGAGCCGAATATTAGACAGGTCTATAAAACAAACAATAACACACGTAAGGAACGTGTTCCTTAGAACAATCAAGTATGTAAGACCAAACGGGCAACACCTGCCCAAAAGCGAAGACGAGAAGGCAAGAAGCAGCAGGAAAACCAGACAAATGACGGGAAATCTTGGATGGAAAGGGGGAGAGTGCTGACACATTGCAGTGACTGCAATCAATGTCACAAAACAATTTGTATTTAAATTATTGAATGGAAAACTAGTTTGCTCTGTAAACTTTCACCTAAAGCACCATAAAATGTTTCAAAAAAAGGCTATAATCAATAAAGAGGGCCACAAAAAAAAATTCTCTGCTCACAGTATATTAATATACGATATAAATGAATCAAAGACTAGATAATATTTTAAATAACTGAAACAATGTTAAACCTTTCCAAGTATTTTCAAAAATAAGATCTATGCTGACTATAAATGGTGAAAATTATATTATGGTTAACTGAAGAAAGGTCACAATAATGTAAATAATCTTATTTCACTATGTGGGTATATGTACATTGACCAACACTGGAAAAGAACATCAAAAAACAGAAATAATTTAATATTAGAGTTACTAGATTTTTTTTAAAGGTAAAAATAACAATAACAGCAATCAATTACTGAACACTTACCATGTAGGAGACACTGGGCTAAGTGGTTAGCTCATCTAATTTGTACAACCACTTATGAAAGAGGTTATAATCATTCCCCACTTTACAGTCAAGTAAACTGAAGATGTGATGGGCAACCTGACTACCTTTTCCTCAGTTAAGGAGTCAAAGACCTGGTTATGTACCTACTTTTGTCTAATTACAAAATCTAAACTCCTAACCATTATACCAATTCCTGATACTAACAAATCAGCTACTAAAAAATTCAAAAATACTGAAACTTTTTAAGTAACTATAATTTTAATAGTGTGCACTTGGCAAGTTAGCAGAAGTTCTTAATGAGGATCAGAATTAATATCCTATAATACCTGCTGTAGTAGATTTTCCAACTCCGCCCTTTCCAGAAGCCACAACTATAACTTGTTTAACACCTTCTATAGGTTTCTGCTTTGGAAGTCCTCGGGACATGATTTGTGTTCTTCTTTGTTTTAGGGTCTCACTCTCAACGCCAGATAACTTTAAAAAGAAAAAAGAAAACATCAAGCGTCTTAAATAAGCCTTCTGCATTACCATGCTGTCAAAGTAAAAACAAATCGGGTTTGCGATTAAGACGACTTTCTTTTCTAGTCTAATTCTGCTCGTCTCCACCAATACAGCCTTTAGTGCTATTTACCTACTGCTACTGATTGCAATTGTAAAGACACATTATTTAAGTGAAATTTATCTGCCAAGACACGCTGACATTAAAAATATAAAGTAAATAAGTTGCCTCTTTTATGTTGTTAAATCATCCACGTGTTTTCCTTCTCTGATTTATCTGCTAAATAATCCAAAATCAGGAAAGCAACTTGCACTATACACACCCATGTTCTAACCATCAGTGTCTTGTCCCTCGGCCTGGCCCTACTGGGAGGCCTGCCTGGAAAGTGGGGGAGCCAACTGTGGTCTTACTGAGCCGCCAGGTGGGCAGGAGCCCACGAGGGACTAATGCGACTGCTTCGCAGAAGACAGCTCTAAGTAACCAGCCGCCCTGCAGCCCCGGCATCTCCATCCCGCCCGTCTCTGCCTGCCTTGCAGCACCACGGACCTGACGCCGAAAAACCAACACTCGGCTTCGACCAAGTCGGGCAGTGGCCCCGCCAACGCCCCGGAGCAACACCCCACCAGAAAGCAGCAAACGTTGCCACAGCCCCATGGCTCGCGCCACTGCCCTGCAGCCGGGCCCGAAAACCGTGCGACCAGCGCGGAATGATGACGTCACACGGCAACGCTCGACCTCCTCTCCCTAGCTACCGGCCTTTTTCAGCGTAGGAATCCAACTTGCTGTGGTGATTGCATCTGTAGCCAGCTGCAAAAAATTTTGCACTGTCGTACCAAATGTTTACCAAGCGTTTTCACATGCATCATCTCATTTGGTCCTTACAGAAGCCTTGAGGTAGATAAATAGGAAACTCTTAATAGTAGTATCTTCTTAGGAAAACTGAGGCTTAGAAACTTTGAAGAGACCTGACCCGACTTTAGAGTAGGATATGGTGGAACCTGAAAATGACTCCATCTACCACCAATGACCGCTCTGACAGGGAACACAACAGAAGTTGGGACAGAGCAGAAGAAAAATGTAGAATAAAACTCAAATTCACATAGAAAGACCAGACTTAATAGCCTGACAGAGACTGGAGAAACTCCCGAAACTATGACCACCGGACACTGTTAAATCAGAACTGAAACCATTCCTGAAGCCCACACTTCAGACGAAGATTAGACAGAACTATAAAACAAAGAATAACACACGTGCGGAATGTGCTTCTTAGTTCAATCAGATATACGAGAACAAATGGGCAGCTCCTGTCCAAAAGCAGGATGAGAAGGCAGGAAGGGACAGGAACTGGTCAAATGGACACGGAATCCAGCGTGGAAAGAGGGAGTGTGCTGTCACATTGTGGGGATTGCAACCAATGTCACAGAACAATATGTGTATAAATTTTTTAATGAGAAATTAACTTGAGCTGTAAACTTTCACCTAAAGCACAATAAAAAAAAAAAAATGTACCCATGGCAGGGGGAGGGGGGGGGCTGGGGAGGGGGGGAAATGTTCTCTTTATGCTTTAGCCTAATTTCGGTGGGTTTGTGTATTTACTTGTAACTATGGTAAAACATATTTTCTAATATTTAGCAAGGATTCTTCCCCAGTTATTCCTTGTACCTCATACATCCCTTCCCCATTTGAATAAACTACGTGGCATCATTTGCCATATTCTGACACAGCAAAGTGTAGGAAAAAAGAGAACTTCTCCTTTATTTTGAATTTTGGAAGTTGTGATCTTTAAGGAGACTGGAGAGGGCTCTGGCAAAGACAATAGATTTGGAAGAACTACATGATAATATAAGAACACAGTTTCTTGCCTATATTAGTTAGGATTGCACTTGGCTGCAAGTAACAGAAAACCCAATCCTTGTCTTCAACAAGTATGGGAATATTAGTCTCACACGAGAAGTCCAGAAGTAGATTCTACAGGTCTGATGCAATTGATCCACAGTGTTACAATGTCCCAAACTTATTATTATTTTTTTTTTGTTCCATCATCTTGGTGTCCACATGTTTGTCACCTATAGTCACAAGATGGCTGCTGCACCTTCAGGCACCAAGACCATGTTCCATGCAGAAAGAGAGGGGAATGAGAAAGGTAAAGAACTTTCCCTAGTGAGCTTTTGATGTTTTTATTTGAGAAGCCAACACACACACACACACACACACACACACACACACATCACATCACATCACATTGGCTAGAACCATGTCATATGGCTACCACTAGAATCAATAAAAGTTAAGAAATCAATGATTTAGATGTCACTAGCCTATAGAGTAGAGGAAAGCAATAGAGAAGGTAACTGAGAATGGGTATTGAGTGAGCCAATTCACAATATCCATCCTAGAGAGACTTTATAAAATTTCCTGGGATTATAGAAAAGGAAGAGAATTAGAAGAAAAGTGAGAATATAGATATTCATAGGTCCTTATGCCAGACACTGGTAGTTCGATAATCCAATAGCCATTCTCAATCGCTGTTCCCTTGCCACCTTCAATTATAGAAGATAAAAATCCATATACTCACTTGACCCCTGTCTTACATGCTGGTTCTGGACATAACTCTGGGCATGTGTGATATAGTTCTGGACAATGTGATGCAAGGAAAATTTGCTGGCAGGGGGAACAACTTCTGAAAAAGCCTTTGCTTTTCTAGTAGAGTAGAACAGAGTTAGTGCTACTCCTTTTTCCCACTTTGACCATGGATGTGATACCTGGAGATGTGGCAGTCATTTTGTGAACATGACAAGCACAATGATGATAAGCACAATGACAAAAGCTAAATATAACAGACTAGAGGTACAGCAGGAAGATAATTTCTAGGTGGTATAGATAAGCTGCTATATCAGTCCAGGCCTGAATGTCCAGACCTCTTATTGATTGAGATAATTGTTTAAACTGCTGCTGGTTAGGACTTGTGTTACTTGAACCTAAAATAATCTGTACTTCTCACTACTCCTGAGAAAGAACTCCATACATACACTGTGACACTCTCTCCTGTTCACCAAAGATTGAGCTCCAGTGAGGAGAGGAAACACCAAATCAGTTTGGGTAATGTTAGAACAACAGAATCAATGCCACCATTCCCAGGTAGAGCTCAGTGCAGTGGCAGGATCACAGAATAAAATTAGACAAGTGGTATGTTTAGGCAGCCAGGTCTGAGTCAGCCTCATAGGGTTTGCCCCACTCTGCAAGAGCCATGGGAATGACTGAGAGGAAGCTGATCCTGAAGAGATCTTGAGGTCAGGATGAAGGGAAGAGTTGGCAATAAGCTGCATGGTTAGATACATAGCATTTCTTTGGATGCTGATATAGATAAATAAAGACCTGAGAATCAAATCTACCTGAGCATATGGACACCAGGACACTACTTAAATATAATTCCCTGTAACTTAAATATAATTCTGGTGGAATCTGTATTGAAGGAAATTATGTTTCCACCACCCTGGCAGAAAGTAATAAATAAATAAATATTGATCAAAACAAAAAGAATTCTTTTGAATGTCTCCTAACTATCTCTAGGGTAACGTAGACCTTTGTTTTCTAGGAAGGAATTAGTTTTATTTGCTAGGTTACCTACTGTCATGGATTGAATTATGTCTCCCCAAAAATGTGTATATCAATTTGGCTGGGCCCTGATTCCCAGTATTGTGTGGTTGTCCTCCATTTTGTGATTGCAATTTTATGTTAAAGAGGATTAGGGTGGGATTATAACACCCTTACTAAGGTCACACCCCTAATCCAATGTAAAGGCAGTTTCCCTGGGGTGTGGCCTGCACCACCTTTTATCTTACAAGAGATAAAAGGAAAGAGAAGCAAGCAGGGAGTGGGGGACCTCATACCACCAAGAAAGCAGCGTTGGGAGAAGAGTGTGTCCTTTGGACCCCGGGTTCCTGAGCAGAGAAGCTCCTAGTCCAGGAGAAGATTGATGAGAACGAACTTCCTCCAGAAATGACAGGGAAAGAAAGCCTTCCCCTGGAGCTGACTCCCTGAATTTGGACTTGTAGCCTACTAGACTTGTGAGAATATAACTTTCTTCTTGTTAAAGCCATCCAGTTGTGGTATTCCTGTTATAGCAGCACTAGATAACTAAGACACCTACTGTTATAGATTGAATTGTATCTTCCAAAAATGTGTGTCAACTTGACTAGGCCATGATTCCCAGTATTGTGTGTTGTCCACCATTTTGTGATCTGATGTAATTTTCCTATGTGTTGTAAATCCTAACCTCTCTGATGTTAACAAGACAGGATCAGAGGCAGTTATGTTAATGAGCCAGGATACAATCTACAGGATAAGGTTTTATCTTGAGTTAATCTCTTTGAAAATATAAAAGAGAGAATCAGCAGAGAGGAAAGGGACTTCATGCCACCAAGAAAGAAACGCCGGGAGCAGAGCAATTCCTTTGGACTTGGGGTCCCCGCACTGAGAAACTCCTAGACCCAGGGGAAGATTGATGACAAGGACTTTCCCCCAGAACTGACAGAGAAAGAGAACTTTCCCCTGGAGCTGGCACCCTGAATTTGGACTTCTAGCCTCCTAAACTGTGAGAAAATAAATTTCTCGGTGTTAAAGCCATCCACCTGCGGTATTTCTGTTATAGCACACTAGATAACTAAGACACCTACACTCTCCCCCTTCAAAAAAAAAAAAAAATCCTTCTTAGGTGCCCAGGAATTATTTTAAAGTTCAGATTTCCACACAGATGAATAGCTTGTCTCAATCCCTATCCATGATCCTCAGGCTGCCTTAATGTCAGCTAAGAACATGCTCTTCACTTCTTTGCTCGACTCGCTAAGGAAGAATAGGGTATTGCAGTTTCCTGCCTCTGTTTAATATACTGAATAAAGCCCAGAAACTACTGCCTGTTCCTTCAGTCTTAGTTTGTTTTTCAAACTGAACCTCACATCTTGTCCTAAGGGCTCACCAACAAGAAAATCCTATCCCATTTGCCTAAATGACTAACCTATTAATTAATTTTACTTTGCTCCACAGTGTGATTTGTTGTCTCTTATCTATACCTAATGCTAATTTGCACATTAAAACATTGAGTAACTCAGTTTAGGGGACTAGCTTCCCATTGAGCCAGTTTCTCTGTAGTAAACCCAATGTGGGACGTTTGTGGACTTTCCCATATCAAAGACTTTGCTGCTCTTTCAGTATCTTAGCTCACATAAACTAACCAGTGGCCATTGAGTCAATTCTGACTCATGGCGACCCCAAGTGTTTCAGAATAGAACTGCACGCCATAGGGTTTTTATGGTTGTGACCTTTTGGAAACAGATTACCAAGCCTTTATTCCAAGGTGTCTCTGGGTGGGCTCTGCTTGCGCCACCCAGGGAATCCTTCACATAAACTAGCCCTGCTGAAAAATCTCCCCATTCTTAGAATAAAAAATTACATTTAAAAAGTTTGTATATATATTCTTAGACTATATAGCCTTCCAGACATATGCCTCCAAAATTACTAAAAATTTACCTCTACAATGTGACAGGATGAATCTAAAGGCCAATATCCAAACCTGGATAAATCATGGGTGATTTGACATTTGAATTTCTGATTTGTAAAACTGAACTGAATCCTTGGGCAAAGGTCACTCTTTTTATGGCTGAATTGTCTCTATTTAATTT